AACCTTAGGCCTAATTTTTCAAGGTGAACAAACGGTGACGCAGATCTCAAAAAGTGATTTACCTTCGGGTCTGCGAGTCTTGACCAAACCGGTGTCACGTAGTACACCATACCGCTTGAAGATCCGGGTAGTGTCAATGCCCGGATGAAAAGAATGATCAAGAACACGTAAGGTAAGGTAGCTGTGACGTAAACGACCTTGCCAGTTGTACGAATGCCTTTCCAGATGCAGAAATACACTAGTACCCAGGCCACAAACAAACACGCTACCAATTTAAGGTTCATATAGCCAGGTTCGTTAATTCCTTCAGACATGTCAAGAACATTGTGTCTGTAGAGAGATTAGAGAATGAAATGTTACATTAAGCTAACACCCTAAAGCTGATAAATTTGCCTGTTCTCGATATACGTTTGCTGAATGAAGAGTTGGTATTAAGATAAAAAGTTATTGCTAGTGATTCCGTTTATTTTTCATCCTATGTACTTAGCCTCAAAAGCAGCTGGTAACAGTTTTCATACTTGTGGATTTTATGGTTCAGTTCTTACACCAGAGCTATTTCAGTTGTTGGGAGAAATTGCAAATTCCAGTTAACACTTTTGGCTAAACATTGGCGATATGCGGTTATCATAATATCAACTAAGCATGCTGCCTCAGAAAAGAAATGATCTTTAACACGCAATCTTGATTTAAAAAACAACCAAAAAAAGTTAACCCCTAAAAGCGCTAAATTCTCGTCAGACCCGGCGTTTGTCTCGAGCATGGGACAGCTTATTGACTCTGATGAGCGTGACGCATAAGATAAGTAAGATTATATTATTCTGATATCAATGACTCAAAAGCTCTTTTCAGGCCCACACAGTATTGATATCCCTTAATGGTAGGCTCACCATGGACATTACCAATTGAAGACGTGTCAAGGGTACTTACATGAAGAATTCCCTGCTCGAAGACACCCTCGTGGTGTTTGTGATATTGCTTTTTGAGCCGACTTCGTAACAGCTGTCCGTATTCCAGGTATGGTGACAGCCAACCCAGGGGATGTCGGGCTTAAATGAGTTATAAAGATAGTAGATACTCCAAGCGAGGATGACATTGTAATATACAGACACTAAAAATGATACGGTCACCATAGCAATGCCTACACCTAAGAAAGAATAACAGTATTCGTTAATTTTTTTTAACAAAAAATATTTCATTTTAAGTGTTCCCATTGGTTCACTCAACTCCAGTTATCAGTTCATATTCTGAGTCACCTTATATGGACATACATTGCGTCAACTGGTGCAAAGCCCAAAAAATTCTCCTAATATCCGAACGTTCAGGATTTAATGGAAATTGATAAAACAATTATTCCATTCAGTGATATGGTAATGGTTATGGCCAACTCGGCGCGTCATATCTCAACGGGTCTCATGGAAAATTGAAGAGAGTAATTCACAAAGTCATTGCTATGTTCGGCAAAGTAGCAAAGATACAACAGAAAAAAATAAAGCAGATTTTGCATGAGAAAAAACTTTTAAACATGGCTTAGATGTCGGATTAACAAATATTGTTGATGACAATCATTTGAGTAACTTGGACGGAAGTCCTTATCGGAACGATCGCTTAAGGTGACCTAATGCCTCCAAAACAACATGCACCAACGATGCGCACGCACCATTCTTCGTGCCCTTACCTGAAAAGAGAGGGGAGATTTTTGCCCACGCCTTAATAGGCCCTGCCTGAAGAACTTGTCCAATGCTGAGTTCCATGAAGAACAAGGGAATACCCCCAAGGAGAAGAAAACAAACGTACGGGATAAGAAAAGCACCTAAATAGTAAAGAAAGATCATATTTTAAATTTCTTTTGTAAAGTTAAACAACCATACAAGGGAAAAATGAATGAATGAGTAAATAGATGAAATACCTATATAGGCGGAGCCTCATTCCCAGGGAGGAAGAGAGGATCCTGGAAACGAGGTTATCACGACAATACAATATATTCTAACCAATTCATTAAAACGTAGCGCGTATTTCTAGAGAAGCGTTTCTGGCTTTTCCGCTCTCATTGAAAAAAAGATGATAATTTGAAACACGAGATACTCTGTATGGTATGATAACTAATACTTCGCATGTATTAAAAGTGATCCAAATCCCTTTAAGAACTTGCAACAATGACCTAACCATTTGACCCCCGTTGCGCATCTATCTTCTCCTTACACCATCACCCCTGAATCACGCATACAGGCGATGAGAATAAAGGAAATGATCACCAACTAAAGTAACTCTCAATTGTAAATTAAACTCTCCTAGTCAGCACCTTAGAAAATATATAGAGAACAGTACGGAGAATATACATACTGATGTAAGGGTGTAAAGGTTTAAAGAAACAGCAACGATTACCGCGTAAGGTCATGTTAAGTCATACCTCCACCATTTCTAAAGCACATGTAAGGAAATCGCCAGAAGTTCCCATAACCCACCGCGAACCCGATACAAGCGAAAAGAAATTCGAGTTTTCTTCCCCAGTGCTCTCTCTCAACAGGCTCTGGTCCAATCATCTCAACACAGACTTACCAGCACTTCGGCTGTTGCGCTTTCTAGAAAAAAGGAAACAGTCAGGTGTAAATGATGAATTTGTCAAAGAAGCAAGTTTTCCAGTCAAACGTTTCACTCTGAGCGAGACATTTGCATGTTATCGGAATTAGTTTTGACTTTGTCTGAAAAGGAACACATTTTGTTGTAATTAGGCACGTTGAAGAACTTTTAAGGGTGGGGGCAAACTTGTTGCCTTTGATGAGGCGAATTCTTCGTAGTGGAGCGAGCTAGCAAGTAGAAGACTGGTACTAGGAGTTCCTCTGTAAACCGATTCAGGAGAAACACCCGTAAATGAATTTAGGATTGTCATTAGTAAAATCATTATACTTTCGTAGCAAGCATGGCGTGTTGCCGGGGGTTATGCTCCCCTAGAAAAAAATTTGAGATTTGAAACTCTCAGAATGTGACTCCAGCATTCTGGGGTATACATTTTTTTGCCAGACATCGATGTTAGAATCAGTTCAAAACCACTTATTTTCTGCCTTTTATCAAATTCACGCAGAAGCTGGCGCATATTAATCTGACAGCCGGCGCATTTTTGCTGATTATCGGCCTTCAATGACAATCCCTTCAATAGACCAGTCTTTTATCATGGTGGACACGTGGCGTTTGTCTCGATTTGTACACCATTACAGAGTCTAGTGTCAAATCTCATTGGTAACCTTTTTCGTTCTATTTTCATGGATTTAATGCTGAGGCAGGGGTAGTTTTTGATAATGCAGTAAGCTTAATTTTGTTTCGCCTATTAAAGTTTGGTGTTTTCCATGAGGTCTAACTCATTTCTCTGTTTGCTTTGTTTTTGAAATTTTGAATATTTTGTTTTGTAAACACCACATGTTGAAACCTCTGTCAAAGGAATCACATATTCCTTGATTTAGACACAAAGAACAACAATTGGCTTCTGTAAAGATGTAAAAGAACAACTTAAGCACTGCCTTGCGTACATGCATGTTTAGAGACCTCAACCAGTCGGAACGAAAACGCGATGGAAGAGGTCGATTTTAGTATTAGAATTTCGCGAATGGCTGGATGTGTTTACCGTCTCTAACGGCACCACACCTCTTCTGCGACATACAAATGTATGTAAGCAGTGATGGGTTCCAAATACAAAATTGAATAATTTGCCCGCTGAGTTTCTCTTCTCAGACCACGCAAATTTTGGTGATTCACGTCGTTGTTTTGCAAAGGACTGACGGCTAAGAAATGTTCAGAGTTATAAAATGCACCTGCTGAGTTATTGTTCTTCCCATTAGATGTTTTGTTTTGCCTCGTCCTAGTTGCCATTTTCGTCGTCATCCTGATATCTATTATTATCGAGAGCATTTTAAAGGGCTTTCAAGTGCCTGCACTCACCTTTTTTAAAGCTTTCACAATGTCTACTCAAACCTTCCAAGTATCTTCAGATGCAAAGATAATGTGATTTTTGTCTCCGTCAAGACGATAATGGTCATTGCGAAGCCTATGAGTCAAATTTCACTTTTTTCAACCTTTCAACGCCTCTAACTGCGGTAGGATTCCAATTCGTTAAGTTTTGATCGCGCTGAAGTAGATTTTTGTGACGCAATAGTAGAATCGCGTAGAGCACAGTCGGTAATAGTTAGTACACGCGCGCTGGCGGGAAAGATGACGGCATCGTCATTTTCCTGTCAAAGTTTTGAGAGGAACTATAAAGACACTGAGAAGGAGCCAGTTTCTCAAATTTTTTTTATGGGAATAAAAATTTAGAATAAAGCTTTTTTTCTTCATCTAGTTATTTTTCTAAATTGACAAATCAAGCAGGGAATGGCGATAATAAGGAGCAAAGAAGCGAATCCATTGAAATTATTTAGAAATTCGAATAACGTAGAACGCTGCCAGAACGCTGCTATTTCGCAAGCGGGGAAAGTGACTAAGAGATGCAATATTATATAGTACTCGGACCAAATTTGTTTATTTAAAATTTGCCGGCTTTTACAACCAAAATATGCGGTTTATGACCGTTTCAGAGCTGGGGAAGCAGTTCATACGGCAAAAGACAGATCGAGTAACTGACCGATCAGAATGCTCGGATTTAACTCAGGACTACCTTGCCATATAATAAAGGGAAGAATGCCATCTCCTTGAGTTTTGTCAATGATAATTAATAGAAAAAGTGGATACGATATTTCGTAAATATCTTCCAACTACATAAATTTTGTTTTTATTATTATTATGGTGTCTCATCCAAGAACACACAGGGAAGGATTTTTGGGGTCAGGGACTAAAGTTAAACCTCTTGCCGACTCGCGTTACTTTCCCGCGGGCGAAGGAAAGCTGATAATGATGGTATTCTCGCACGCTAGGATCAACGGGAAAAAAGCCACTATATACGGACATATTCTCCGCTCGACAAGAATAAAACGGTTCTTAATCCGGCAATCATCAAATTTCACATTTCGCTAGTGTTCGTATCAAAATGATTTTATTTACATTCATCACGTAAATCCCAAATACTTTCATACAGTTTCATTTACAGCTGCTTCGAGAGAGGTTGTAGGAAAAAAGGACAAAAGTGCACGCGACAATCTCGAAAGGTAATATGGGTATATCCGATGACAGGAGCCATTACTTATTTGATGGGCTCCTGCCGATGATCAATGAATTTTAATGAATAAAATATATAATAAGTTTGTCAAACCCACTATGCCTCGTCCTTATCTCGTACCCAGTTCCTATGTGCTTTACCGTAGAACTCCTGAGTACGAGACTAGCCTCGTCTTTATGGTGACGTTTTCTGAGATTTCCCTGAAATCCTGAGGTCAAGGAGCCGTGACCTGAAAACTACCCACAATACTTTCTGGGGTTGTCACGCGCACTTGTATTTTTTTTTGTTTTGCCGGCAATCCATCTTGAAAGGGGTTAGTTTGGAGACCAAGTTAAGTCAAATGGTACTCAAGATCCCCCCGAATAATATACAAAGTGGTGTTTCCTAGCTTCAGTATAATGATGTAAATCCAATATTATCTGATAATGTTTCCATTGTTCTATTTTGCTACAAAATACGTGGGCAATGCCTTGAAGATTCTTTTCTTTTCAGTTATGATGTATTTTCAGCGTTGTAATTTGATGCCAATTGCAGTTTTTTTTTTGGAGCAATGGATGATGGGATCTGGGAGCCCATCTGTCATTCAATGAGAGATTCAGTTAGGAATGGACCACCGACCTAGATGACATAATTATTTTTACGACATTCATATTTTTTCCTAATAAAAAATTATTATAATCATCCAAAAATAATAAGCGCCTCTAATTACTCTAACCTATGCACTATTTCATATTTAAAAGGATAGTAACTTTGAAATCTTGACATATATTTCACCATAAGCTTCAAAGGAGGTCAATTTTCTTCATATGTACGAAGCTGTCGTCGCGTTTGATTTTCTTTCAGGGTTTTTCCTTTTTTTTGATCTGCACCGAATCAAACTTAGGAGGCCAGTTTTGCACAAGCCGTTGATCGATATATAGTACGATGAAGCTCAAGATTAACTTGTTTGATTGAGTTTTTTGGAAAGCTTTTTAACTTTAAGAATAACTAATTCGTGTTCTTTTAAGCTACACGGTGGAATACACGAATACCACGCTGTCATATTTCTTTCCGCCCCTTTTTTTATTCTCTTCCTGATCCTCACTTTTTAAGAAGCCTTTTTCTCTATGGCTTCCACCTTTAATCGAAGACCTCCTCAAACTTCCGGAGAGCGAGTTTCCCTTCAAGCTCGTTTTACACAAAGATGAAGTTCTACTAAGCGGGCTTGGAACCAGGCGTTCTTTACAAAGCAGGGCGCGTGCAATGTAACGGAATGTGGCGATCATCTCACTGTTCCTAAAGGCATACACGACGGGGTTTAACGCGCTGTTGCCGTAGTGACAAAATTTAACGAGCTGAATCACGCGGAAAGTGCGTAGTGAGGGCGGAAGGTAATGTGGGTAATACGTGCCAATCATGGTAACGACAAAAAGAGGCAGCCAAGCTGCAACGAAGAGTCCTGTAATGAACGCCAGCGTGACAGATAGCCTTAGGTCTTTTTTGTACGCTTGCTTCACTGCACGGTGCTGGCAAATGCTCTTTTTTCCGGGTTGGTTACGAGCAAAACGATAGATAAATAAATAGGCGAAGAAAATGACGATGAACGGAATGAAAAAGCACGTGAACGCCACGAGAAGCGTGTAAACGTCTTGCCAATCACCAGCAAACTGCACGGGTTGTAAACTTGCCACAATAGCTGCATACAACCACGGTATAGCGATCATGACGTAGAAAACTTTTATGGAGAGAGTTCTGTGACGTAACGGGCAGACTATTGCGTGACAACGCTCGACACTGAGCGCTGTAAGCTGCAAAATGGAAGCTCCTCCGATGAAAATGTCAAACGTAATGTAGAATGTATACGTTGTTTGGGTGGTCGAAGCATACTCGTAATATGATGTAAAAATGGCCAACCAGCAGGGAATTGAGACAAACCCGACAAGAATATCGCTGACGGCCAATCCCATGATTAAAGTGTTTGTGGCGGTGCGGAGGCGTTTGTTTATAAAGAACGCGGATAGAATGAGTCCATTACCGGTTAAAATTACTAACAATAACATAGCGTAGAGACCGATCATTATGGCTAACTCCAGATGCGAGATTTTGGTCAGATAGCTGGATGAATTCGTACTTTGATTCATGTTTGGGAAAGCCAGTGCTTGGCCAGTGTTCCGTCAGAGAGTACTGTTAGTTAGATCCTGCAAAGAAAAACACGAAAATGAAGATGTAGATTGGAAACAAGGAAGTGTTAGACTCATTAGTAGAATGGCTGTAGCTACACTAGATCGACGTACTAAGTTCAGTAGACAATCTGTGTTGAAAAAGCGTTACCGCTAAACAAAACCAACCACTTTCAAATAAGGAAAAAGGAATACCATTCTGAAAGAAACCTCAAAATATGGGTTAATGCATGATCGATCATTAAGCATGTTGAGCTGTTGGTGTTGAGAGGGTGAGAGTGACAAAACCTAATTAGATCAGTCGCGTTCTTTCTGTGTTTCCTAGGATATTCCGAGTATTCAAAACGACTGATTCCTCTGTGCCAATTATTTTTTATGTTTTGTTGTGTGGAAATCCGAGAGCAACTGTGCATCTTTTCTAGCCTGGTGAAAACTCAAACTCTTTGATTTACAGCCGCGCAGCAAAACTTCAACCCTTTCACTAACAAGACTTGAACGTCAGTTCTCTGTAGTATCTGTCATATATTTCTCATACATATCTGTCATATATCTCTCACACATATCTGTCATATATTTTAAGCCCCGGAAATTCAGTGTTAAGCCAAAAGATATCCACTAGTTGATATTGTGCTTTCTGTTTATCGTTTTTCTGCTTACAATTCTAATGATATAAAAGAGTAAAATTTTTTCAGGTCTTTCCTTTGAGAAACAAGGCCACAGGAGCTTGAATTCATTTTTGCGAAAGGCTCAAGTACCTTTCATGTAAGGCGACGCAAAAAAGTTAAGTACTTATAAAAGAGGCAGGTATATAAGTGAATAATAATAATGGATGTAGAGATAATAACAACGGTGGCCAAGGTCCGAGAAGATATAGCGGACTGCGACGACGACCTTAAAAATATTTAGGCTAATATTCTTAGAAATGAAAAAATCAGTCATCTTATTGCATCGTTTTCATTAAATGTCAGAAAACTATGGAAATACTAAGTTTGCGAGGGAAAACCAAGTTACTAAGTTAGAGTGAACTCTAAAGACGGAGACATTGTCACATTTAAGAAATTCACGCCAATACTTTTAGATTTACAAACCGTGGCACAGCTTATCGCAAACAGCCGAGATTGAGTGATTCTATGCAAACTGCAGTCCAGTGGCTCAATGCGGTGCTGTTTCGATTCGAATTGGTCGGTTCTGACAGTTGAAGGGAAAAAAGATCTTTAACGATCCTCGGACAAAATAGCGGGCGAATTGACAACACATAAACGGATTATTTTTTTTGTAGTGCACACCTTCAGATATTGCGAAATTGCATGGCGGTCAGCTGCACGTATAACAACCGGCGCAAATATTTCCTGTTTTTTAGTTTTTTCTTTTGTTGCTCTGTACACAGAGATATATAAAATGCGAATAACACCTAGGGAGCTATGAGATTAAATGCAGGCAAATAAGGAAAACTACCTTATTATTTTATCTCGAAATTGAGCAATAAAAGAAAACAGTTGTGGCAAACTTTGATAATATAAGTCTCTGTTTACACTCGAGAATTGAGGTTTAGGCGCTATTGTTTTTAAAAGTGAAGTGCTTTGCGCTTTTTGACTTGTCGGGATTTGTTTTAGGTCAGTTTTTACCACAATTCGTTCGTGGTCGAGGTAAAGCGGGTGTCCTTATTTTAGATTAAACGTGGCAATTTTTGAAAAAATTTTCCCCTCTTCCTTTTTTCAGCTTAAGAGGCTTTCCAACTTTATATCAAACCAATGGTTAAAAAAAAATCCGATTTTAATTAATCTATCTCAAAGACCGATTGTTATTGAAAAAAGATTTGCAAGACAAAAAAAATCTGAAGTAGAAGTCAATTATTCTAAAAGTTTTTTATCGAAATTTTAATAACACTGTCGGAAATAAATAAACATGTAAAGTACTTTGCGAAGCTTAGAATAAATAACTGCTCGAAGTACCGGAACGTTTGTCGATCAGATCGAAAGAACAAATGACTGGGTTGAAAAACGAGTCAATAATTCCGGTGGACAAAGTGTCTACCTATTTGAAGGACCTAGATTTGAATTGGAAGTTTGGCTATTCAATTTATCCCGTAAGGTTTAACAGCTGCATTTTCAATTATCTTTTTGCAATTTCTAAAACAGCTCCCTGCTTTGCTTTTACTCAGATTATACGAGCTTTGACAAGTTTTCTTTAACAGTTTTTTGTTTATTATTACAATATGATGCCTTCTTTCAAATTAGAGGATGACTTAATCGTACGTGCTCAAAAAAAAAATCGTTATCACCGTTAAATTTTTTTCTGATATGCCTGCTATCAATTCCTCCGATGTCAGAGATAAAAATCCCTATAAAAGTGTGAATGATGAAATGAACTCATACATAATGTATGGTTAATTAAAGAATGAATCAACCTTATTACCTCGTTCGCAATATGTGGTTTCGTTGCTCAATATGTCTGTAATAGACGCACGCAAGAGCTCCTCAGGGTGGAGGTGAAAGTTCCATTTAATTAGGCTTCGCTCCTTACAAACGGAATAGTTCTTGGAGCAATTTTCAATTGGGAATCCAAAGAAACCCGGGACTGCTTTGATTGCACTTAACTTAGCTCTGTGATTGGTCCGGGAAACTCGCATTTCCCTCTCAACCAATCGGATGAAAAGTAAAATCAATCACGACTACGTCAATCGCGTTTTCCCGCGCTTCAAGCAGTTTGTTTAGTTTCACTTTAAGTTCTCATTGGGCAAAAATAATGTAAACCTATGTTCTGATTGGTCACTGCACCCATAAGCCTTTAACTCCCGTGAGTGACCAAGACAGAATTTCTCCTTACTATATTTATACAATATCATGCAAACAAGAGATGAGAATGATGAAAAATATATCAATTATCGGATTACTAATTGATCTGTTACCAAATTCTCCACAATAACATAATGAGAATCGTTGGCGGACAGTAAGGAGAATTACTAATGAGATCTTGGGAGTTAAAGGGTTCATACATCTCCGAAACCGATTTTCTGCACGTATGTTAAAGAAGCTATGACATGATCAGCACTAACGTCAATAACTTTCCACATTTAATGTTGATCGCACTAAGGCTTGTGCATTTCAAAGCAATTTCTATTTTTAAAGTTTGATTGCAAAAGAAAGACGTCCATTTTCTCTTTCATACAGATTTTTAAAATTACTCCTCTGTAATCAAAAACCCATTTGAGTCAGTCTGGCATGTCAATAATCCTCTATCTGAGGTCAATTTCTACGTTTCCTTTCACTGGAAAAATGAAAAGGTCGAGAAGTTCGAGGACTCTTCATAACGCTTATACCACACAAGCTAAGAGACTGTTACGCAATACGAGTGCAATGCACTATGAAACACTTTCACTTGTCAAAACTCAGTACTAATAATTTTGTGACGGTTTTTGTCGTCGTTCGTGTTAATTCGATTTTTCATCAATTTTCAGTACGCTCAGTTGTGACTTAACTATAATGGTCAAGTCCTAACTTGCATTTGATGATTTGTATTTCATTACAAAGATTTTAAATCTGACCGATCGCATATTTTTTTCAGCGCAATTATGGTGTTGTTTTCTTTCGCCCTTTTTGAGGTTAAATCAGTGCAAATTTAGCAAATAATTTTCCCAATGCCGAGATGGGCGAAATGTCTTTGCAGCAGTCAGCACTCTGAGCAAATAACCTCATTAGAACAAGGCGCTAAAATCCTCGACAAAATTCAAACTAGCTGGATATCGAGAGCGAGATTTTATCACATTCTCCATGTGACACGAAGCAAATTGTCGCTGCGACTTGCTCCCGCAGCTATTGTGAATCTTGACCTGTATACTTACAACTGCGTTGATTTGCAAAGGCTGTTGTTGTCCTTTCAAATATTGGAAGTAAAACTGAACCATGAACTCAAATCCATGAACAAAAGATGAACTGCTCTTCCAACAGCTGAAATGTTAGTTTACGTGTTTCAAGGTAATTCAAGGCACCTGATTAACGCGTGATTTTCTATTTATCACTCTATCCCTTGTTTTTTGAATCGTGAGCAAACTTCAACGACACAGCGTCAGAGAGGTAAATCTCCATGCATTTTATAAGTCTCGCAGGTCGTGAAGTACACAATTTGATGGATTGCTCGCAATTAATCTTCCCATTTGAACAACGGACATTCTGAAAGCCCTTATTGACAACTTTGTCGTATTATCCGGGAGTACAATGACAACTCTATGTAGTTTCCGAAAAACCTGTCATCATAAATGAAAAGGACACAAAAACAAAGAGATTGATCGCACGCGTAGGCTGCAATAGGTATTTTAGGAAGCCATTGGCACTAATACATAATGTAGTCTGGCGCCAAAAACAGTAAAACTTATTACCTAAATATCGGGTACTGAACATTAATTGGTTACTGTAAGCCAAGATGACCAACATGGGTGATATGCTCTCTCGATAACACAGTAATAGGAGATAAAAATGCACAGACACGTCGAAGGAAGTGTCAAATTTACGTCTCTCGATTTCAAAGAAGCTTCGAGGTCCATTACGAAATATCCGCATTTTTGCCGTTATCTTTCACTGATATTGAGCCAAGTTAGATGCTACTTCGTTTAAACAAAAGGGCAGTTTTTTTTTGTGAAGCAAATGGACCTTTCAACTGAAATCAACCAAGTAATCAATAGATTTTGAACATAGATTTAAATCGGAAAACGTTGGTGAGTGATTTCACAATGGTTCTACCGGTAAAATGTTTTTAAGGATATTTATGTCAAATTCAGCTAGTCTATGAGTTATTGTTTTGTTGGACATTTCCCAAGCATTCATTTACAAGCAGTGCATACAAATGAAGGTTTTTATTGTGAAAACTCTGTTCACTGCGAGTGCTTGTCGTTTTTATCCTCTTCAAGTTCTCCAAACATTTTTTGAAGTAACTTTGAAGACATTTCGAACACGTCTTGAAAACGTCGATCTTAGCCTACCACACAAAACCGTAAACTTAATAAAAAAATTTTTGCTTTTTGC